AGAGACAGGGGGAGGGGAGAGGGAGAGAGAAAGATAGAGAGACAGGGGGAGGGGGAGAGGGAGAGAGAAAGATAGAGGGGGGGAAGGAGGGAGGAAGAGGGAGGAAAGAAGAGGGAGAGAGAGGGGGAGAGAGGGGGGAGAGAGAGGGAGGGGAGAAGGGAGAGAGAGAGAGAGAGAGAGAGAGAGAGAAAATGAGAGAGAACAAGAACTTGTCCTTCCAGACTGACAAGCAAGCAAGTCAGTACTATATTCCACACATCCAACTGTGGAACAAATCCAGGCTGTTTTCTTTCTGTTTCTGTGCTGTAATGTACACACCATGCTATGTGCATTCATAGGTGCAGTGTTACATTTTCATAGAGTATATAGTGATCAGGTCAGGGGCGCTGGTACACCCCCCCCCAACACTGATCATGTCTGTGTTGGGAACATTCATGTCCTCTCTTCCATCCTCTCTGAAGCAAAATATTCTGTTGTCATGACCGCTACAGACCACTAGGCCAAGTGTCCACTGACTATTCTACCACACAGTCGACATGGATTCCTTTAAGCCAGTGCTTTTCTAAGTGATCCAACCATGAAACTCTATAGTGTTTGAAACCAAAAAGTAAATAAAGGGTGTCGATAACACAAAAGATAAAATCCTAAGATTGTGAATAAGATGCACCCCAAGCCCTACGACTCTCACATAAATAAAGGAGTGTGAAGACACTGGCACAGGAGACACTGCAAAGGGCAGACCTGTGCGCGCGCACAGACACTTCTTTACCTTAAACGGAGACTCCGTGGCACCAGCCTCGTCTGCAAGGGCTTCCTTGGAGACAGGGGACACGGTGTCACCAAGGGAGTGGCCGTGGAAGGTGGAAGGAGGGCACAAGCTGTCCGTGGGCTGCCTTTGTGGAGCGCTGCTGCCACTTTCTGATGGCTTTTCTGCAACCCCCCAGCGCTCAGGCCACCTCTCCATGCCATCGTGGGCGCAAGTGAGGCCAGCTGCCTTGTGCGGAGAGAAAAGGCCAGCCTCTGGCTGGAATGTGACTTCTGTACTGGCACCAGCCGCAGGAGAGCTCTCCGTGGGGTCGGGGGTGCTGTCTGACCTCTTTCCGTCCGGTGTGCTGGCTTCTGCCCCCGTGGCACTGTCTCCAGCAGGGGAGGCGCTTACTTGGTCAGACGTGGTGTTGTCAGCTACGATCTGTGTCTCCTCTCTGGTGTCTTCTGTGCAGGCACTGTGGTCCTGGGTGGGGCAGGGTGCAGTGGGGTCCTGCCGCAGCCATTGTCGGGACTGCTGGGCTGGGACTGGCTGTCCTCCTGGGCACTGGAAGCCACTCGCCTTCCTGCCTGCATCTTCACTGTTTTGCTCCAACAATTTCCGGCTGCCTACACTGCCCTGGATCTGTCTCCTTCTGAAGTATTTTCTTCCTGGGGAGCACTCTGCCAGGCCCCAGGGGGCCCTGGCTGGGTCCGGGCAGCGCTCTTCCTTCTCAGCCCTGACACAGCCGCAGATACTCCCCATTGGACCGGGAGACAGTTAGAGCTCAGCAAAGGCACACATTCCAACCCCAGGGCTGCTGCAGACCTCTGTGAGCCAGCCCAGCCCTCTGCTCCGACTCCGGACTCCTCGCTGACTCTGTGACCATCCTCTTCAGCCCGAGGCCATGTTGCTTATGAGAAAGCGCACGCAAGAAATGCCCTGGCAGCCGGCCCAGACGTCCCTGTGTCTCATTAGGCGCCGAGGCTTATTTCTGGCCACCAATCCTCGTAGACAAACAGTGCTCACTGTCAAGTCCCAGCTCTGACCTGGGGTTTACTGTGTGAGCTCACTAACGCTCACAGACACAGCACCCAAGTGTGTGCTAACCTTTGAAACTGCTGCTGGCTGCTCACAGCTGAGAGCAAACAGAAAGCAAACTCCAAGCGGACGGACTCAGCCGAGAGCTCTTGGGAATTGATATTAGAGAGCATGTCACCTTATAGCACGCAATTGTTTTTCTTATGAATCTAGTGTTGGGACTAGCACACACACACAAACAAAAAGCTTGAAAACCTCAAAACTACTGGCTCTTACTCCAAACCACAGCATAAAATATGAGTCAATAATTAGTTGAGGAGAAACGTGAATGTCTACAATTCTTTATTCAATTTGCCTCTAAAATCAATCTTTTATAGTAATCTGGAATACTTTTCAAGTAACACACATTTCAAAAACACAGCCCTCTCTGATCACTAGGGATTTCATATGAGCAGCCGGCCTCACTTGCGCGCACGATGGCATGGAGAGGTGGCCTGAGCGCTGGGGGGGGGGTTGCAGAAAAGCCATCAGAAAGTGGCAGCAGCGCTCCACAAAGGCAGCCCACGGACAGCTTATGCCCTCCTTCCACCTTCCACGGCCACTCCCTTGGTGACACCGTGTCCCCTGTCTCCAAGGAAGCCCTTGCAGACGAGATGTGGAGTATTAGATACTTGGCCACAGAAACACCTGCACATTCTTCAATGTGAGTTAAGCAGGCCAGCTCCAGGTGTGACCCACAGACCAGGACTCTAGTTAAACATTTATGCCATTTAGCAAAGCCTTGCTGGAAAAGTTAACATCACGATGGGGTTGGGTTATCTGCAGTGCATTTCCAGCACTGAATCACAGATGAGGCACAAAGGCAATCAGAATGGCATACAAGCAGGCCACCACCACCGAGCAACAAAAAGAGAACCTGAACCTTTCCTTTTCTGGTGTTCTCTAGACTAATCCGAAGATGGGGCTTATAACCTTGCTGAGTAAATGCTCAATTAAACAGTCAAGTTACTAATGGTGTTGAAGGGTGTTAGTAACAGACCCTTTTTCTTAAAGATTTCCTTTATCGTGTGAAAAGTAAATTTAACATTTTCCTGGGCAAAACTTCAATATTCTAGATGACAACTGGCAAAAAAAAAAAAAAAAGACCTTGAGTTTGTCTCAGGCTCTCATGACTTCAGAGGCGATGGAAGGTACTGCAGGGTGCTGGAAGGCCTGATGACTGGTATTTGCCCCACACGTGGGAGAGGCCCCAGCATGACAGCTCCACCCTCTCCTCTGCCCCTGCCAAGCCCAGCACTGGACATTTTTAGACCACATACAGGGCACCTTTTCTCAGAAATAGCCCAACATGGGTATCTTCTGGTAGGTGGCATCTGACTCACAAAGCCCATCTTTAACATTTGTGTTCAAGTATTTAAAATTTATACACATCCTCGGTATTGTCTACTCCCTTTCTAGCCTCTCCCTTTTTATTTACATTTATTTACATCACCAACACATTCCTAACACTTGATGAGGATCCTGACAGGAAGTTATGTTTCACAGGATGCAGGGCATTGTGGGTAATGCACACCTTCAGAATGCTGGCTGACAAACTCAATTTGTGATGCTCACAATAGGTATTTTTAAATGAATAAATTGGTCTTCTGAAATGGCTGTTGTCTCCTAGATGCAATCTTCCTCCCCCCGCCGAGCCCTCGTCTGTGTCACTCTACTCTTAAGACCACGATTCAGCCTCTCAGCTCATCTCCATACTGATAGGCTTTGGCCTTTCCAGCTATCTCATATAGGCTTGGGAGCTGCTATTTCCTAGAGCACATTTTTCCCCAAGCTCTGAGCATTTGGAACTGACCCTGTATCATCACAGCCAGCAGCAAAAGAGCCAAGAATGAGTCCAGCATCTCCCATCTCCTAATGCCTCTGTGGTTCTCCTGCCCCGCCGGGAGTCCCATCGGACACCAGGAATGCACACCCAGCCGGCCTCACCAGCTCCTGCCCTATGCCAGCCCCATCGGGAGCTCCCACACAGCCACCTTCTTCTCCAGTGCCACAGTCACTTAGAAGGGTGTGCCGCAGCCTGCTGTGCTCCATGCACCTGCAGTGTGCTGTGTATCTACTGCATGCCAGGCACACAAATGCACATCGAACTTGGCATGAGCAAGTTCCAAAGCTAAGAGTCACCTTAAACCAAAGGCAAATGTGTCTTCAAAATGTGAGATCACAAAAACTAAATCAAAGCCAATCATTCAGCACAACTTCATTAGAGAATTATCCATAATATAAAACTTGCGCTAAGTCCCTCAACGCTAGACAGATACACACAGATACAGTACTTTTCTTTTTCTTTTTTGTGTCAGTCCTAGGGCCTGGGCACTATCCCTGAGCTTTTTGTTTTCTTTTTTTTCTCAAGACTTAAGCCACTTCCAGCTTTCTGGTAGTTAATTGGAGATGAGCCTCACAGGCTTTCCTGACCAAGTTGGCTTCAATCTTTGAAATCTCAGCCTCCTGAGTTGCTACACTTAAGGCATGAGCCACAGCTGTTAGGCCAGGACTCTGAATTCAGACCTCCTTAGTATAATTCTACTGCCATCTAGTGACCACAAAAGAAATAGAGCTTTACAACATGGATAAAATTATTCTAAATTAATGACCTGGCCATAAATCTTCACATCTCTACTGTCCAAAGAACCAAATATAAGAGCTCATATTCAAGAAAAAGAAACCTTTTATTGTCTAACACTAGGAGTACAAGGGTGGACCTTAAACCCAAATCTCAGTTCATGGAGGATAGGAAGGAGGAGGATGTCAGGGCTACAATCAGCATGTCACTTGAAAGAACAATCAAATGTGCTATCGAAGGAAATAGCACAAAACTTACCTTTTTTTTTCGTAGATCTTGGGGCTTGAACTCAGGGCCTGGGTGCTGTCCCTGAGCTCTTTTGTTCAAGGATAGCAGTACCATTGTTAGCCACAATTCTACTTCTGGGTTTTGAATGGTTAATTGGAGATAAGAGTCTCACAGGGACTTTTTGCCCAAGCTGGCTTAGAACTACAATCTTCAGATCTCAGCCCTCTAAATAACTAGGATTGCAGGCGTGAGCCACCAGTGCCTGGCAAAACTTATCTTTCATTTGGAGGACATAACAAGCCTTCATATGAACTGAAAATTATCCTTGAGTTCTAAAAGATGATGACTCAGAAAACTGGCTCTTACCTGAAAGTGCAAAATTATTGTCCATATCAACCCGAGTGTCAGTTTGGGGTTGCCATCCGTGATGTCATCGTTCCTGATGTTCACCAACTTCACCTGTGCCACATGGGGAGAGAGGACAGTGTCCATCAAACCAGCTCAGGCTACATCTACCTGCAGAAACAATTCTTGATAACACAAACCATGCAGCAATCTTCACCCTAATCTGACCCTTGACTAACAAATAAAAGTTTAAAAATTAAGCCAGGTGCTGGTGGCTCATGCCTGTCATCCAAGCTACTCAGGAGGCTGGGATGTGGGATCACAGTCAAAGCCAGCCTGGGCAGAAGTCAGTGAGACTCTTCAATTAATCACAGAAGAAGCTAGAAGTGGTGCTGTGGCTCAGGTGGTAGAGCCCTAGCTTTGAGTTTGAGCCCTAGGACCGGCAAAAAAAAAAAAAAAAAAAAAGGAAAGGAAAGGAAAGTACAATTAAATTTGAAAATCATTTTAACAATTCATTTTTCCATCACATAGGATTTTAAAACCACAGCACTGTTTCTCAATGGGTGCATCCTGAAGGTTATATATTTTTAAAAAGCTGGGCTCTGGTGGCTCACTCCTGTACTCCTAGCTACTTAGGAGGCTGAAGTCTAAAGATCACAGTTTGAAGTCAGCCCTGGCATGAGATATCTAAGTACTAGAGTGCTAAACAACAAAGCTCTAGGCTCTGAGTTCAAGCCCCGGGCCAAAAAAATAGTAGTAAGATCCAAGTATAAAGCTTATCAACTGTCAAACTAATTTTTCAGGTTAATAAATGCAATAGTGATCTCTAATGTTTACCTCCTACAAGAAGATTATGAATTAAATACCCAAAACTACATAGCCTGATACTTAACACTATTTCCTAGAGAAAATCTACCAAAAACATTTTATACAAGGAAATAATATGTGAGGTATACATAAATATATGTGTGCACATATTATATATACACTATATATATATATGCTGTATGTTTTTTATACACACACACAAACACACAACCATTTTTTCTGTAACCTTCCACTAGGATAGAGCAGAAGGCAAACCCTTTAACACCTAGAGTATTTAAGTTCCTGTTAAGTAACTAAAAGCATTTATATGCGCATAATAAACTAAAGAAGGGATAATAAAATCTAGCATTCCCACACCCCCTTTCCTTTCTTAGTTGTGAAGTGTATGACACCACACCCAGACTGCAGCCCCGGGGAGGCCGAGGGAGGAGGATCAAGACCTGGCCTTAAAAAAAAAAAAAAAAATGATGGCCATCTCTTGCTTTCATTAACTTTCAAATCTCCTGCATTTCTTTTTCTGATTTAGCTAAAAAATTACCAATACTTTGTCTGACAGTCCTCTGATATCAAATTCCAGAAAGCCAGGTTGCACCCATGACTGTTTCCAAAGTTCAAGCTAGCTGGGGACTGCTAAATGAGATGTTTTCTTTTTAACCATCCAAAATGACCAAAGAAAACGTTCTTGGCATCGAGATCTTTCATGGCTACTCAACACCTTTGGCGGCCTAGGCAAACGCACGTTCTTCTCTCAACAACTCCAGGCTTCATCTAGTCACTTCCTTTTCTTGGGGACATATGTCTGAACATGGTTTTAAAATATTTTCTTCACCAAAGTACAGCTAAATTATTATGCTCAGAGCCTAACTTAATGCTTTCTTTCCCTGGCATGTTTCTATTTAGATTTACTTAATCTATCTTTATATGATTAGAATTTAAAATACATCATACCTGGCGTCTTTTCAAATAGTCCAGTGCAATTTGTACATTCTGCAGTCTGTGAAAGCGCATTCGACCTTTCTCCCTGGGCTAAGAATAGACAAAAAGTAGGTAAGAAAATTTAGTGTGCAACACCACTGAACTCTGCTAATTTAAATGTATTAAAATGTATTGATCACAATTTGTGTCATCTGTGACTGAATTTAAACTATCTAAGATGTTTTTCGGTATGATTTAAACATATACTTCATTCCAAATATTTCCAAAGGAAACTAAAGAACAAACAGACTTTTGATATTCTCTAAGAGCAATTCTGGCCTGTAGGTATTTAATTACAGATGCACAAAAGTAACTATCTTCCCCATTTAACACTATTAGCAAGAGGGCTTTATAATCAAATACGTGGAATGTTAATGAAAATGAGGTAAAGTAGCATGCGGTTAGTGAAAAAAAAAAAAATCACCAAAGAGAAAGATGGTTTTACTCAGCCATGACAGAGGAGGGAGGGGAGCTAGCCCGCTGATCACAGGGGAGGGGGAGGGGGCTGGCCCCACTGTACAGTGCCCTTTGTTTTAGCCTTCTGTGGAAGGCAGAGCGGACTTCACTCTGGCTTCCCCTGCACGGGATGGGATGGAATGTGACAGGCCATGGGTATTTCCCTTAACAGCTGGCACAAGTCAGCTGAAGGAAAACACAAGGAACAGAGCTGAGCAACGCTTAACAAAACACAACAAATGGTGCTGAAACCTGCCACAAAAGAAAAGGGTCAGCGTCACTGCTCGAATCTGAAGAGGGTGCAAGAGCGCTAGAGGTGTCTGAGCAGACGGGAGGAATCGCAGTAACACTTGTAAATTCACCCTCTTTGATCCAAAAGAAGCACAGTGGCCACAAAACAGGAAGAGTGGACCCCTAGGGCCAATGACCAGGAGGCTTGGCCGTAACAGTGCAGGCCAGCTGTCAGCCCTGGCCTTGATGGGGGTAAAATTAACCAGCTCTTTGGAGTACCAGATCTTAGAATCTTTTTTCCTTCTAAATAATGCCTGCTGCCAATGGGTAGATTTAAAGCAGAAACCTCCCATCTCCGTAAGTTCCTACAAGAAAAGCCATGAAGTGCTGCCATGTTCGGAATACTAATTCCAGAAGTGGACTGAATGTGCACAGCTAGCACACTGCCTGTATTCGTGTTTGTCTGTGACACACAGCAAACTCCTCAGCCGAAATGCCGGGATGGGGCTGAAGCAGTTCTGCGCGATTCCCACAGGCATGGCATGGAGGAGGCACGGAAAGCCATCGCTTCCGCGCACAGTGTGCTGAGGCCTGCTAGTCTTTTCTCAAGGGGAGCCCGAGCCCACGATGCTTTCTCCACCAAGCTAACCCACCGTACGCTGGACACTAGGTTAGTCGAGTTACGGGGCGACACCTACCCCCTTATCCTCATCCTCCACAGCCTCATGCTGCTCATACTCGCATGCTTCTGGCGCACTCACCAATCGTAAGGTCTTCAAAAAATCTCGCTCCCTCGGCTAATGAACATAACAGACAGAAGAGAGAACGGCAAAGACACAAGACAGACCAGAAATGAAAAGAAGAGCATGAACAGAAGGTAATGAGGGGACAGGAAGCTGAGAAGGAGGGGAAGACACCTGAGGGACGGGTTAGAACACCTTCCAGAAAGCAGGGTTTATCTCCTTGCTATCTGCGAGTCTTCTAACATGTGGTTACATTACGCACCCAACTTCTCTAATGCAAATAAAAAACCTCAAAGGTAAAAAGGAAGCAAGAGCAAAAGCACTGTTTTAATTACAGAATGAATTATATAAGCAGAATATTCAAAGTGCTCCAATTTCATACCACTGCATTGGAATCTTAGGGGCTTATTCACATCTAACCAAAACATTTTTTATTCCCATCTAGGGAGATGCTGCAAACATCTGAAGAGCCTGTGTTGAAAACACCTTGGCCATGTGTAGAAAGGACTGCATGTTCATCCATGGTCACATATGGAATGGACTGCATGCTCATCTGTGGTCATGAATGGAAGAGGCTGGATGTTCATCCACAGTCCCATGTGAAAGGGGCTGCATGTTTAACCTTGGTCATGTGTTGAAAAAACTGCATGCTTGTGCATGGTCATGTGGGGAAAAAAATTGCATGCTCATCTGTGGTCAGGCATGGAAAGGACTGCATGCGCGTTCATGTGGAAAGGATTTCATGTTCAGCCTCGGCCACATGTGCAAGTATAGGTTCATCCGTGGTCACGTGGGGGAAGGATTACATGTTCATCCATGGCCACATGTGGAAATGATTACATATTAATCTGTGGTCACGTGGGGGAAGGATTACATGTTCATCTGTGGTCACATGTGGGAAGGATTACATGTTCATCCGTGGTTACGTGTAGAAAGGACTGCATGTTCACCCACGGTCACACGTGGAAAGGATTACATGTTCGTTCACCCGTGGTCACACATGTTCATCTATGGTCAGCCAAGTAAGTTAAGAAACAACTTACCAAGGTGTCCCCAGAAAGAACCTCTAGGAGGGAGATCAAGCTGTGTCCATCCCTTAAGTCTTCATAGAGGTCATTCACGTGTTTGCGAACCTATGAGACAAAGCACAGAATCTGGTTCTAGAACTAGGAATCCTTCACTGTCTCCAGTAAGAGGGGAACCAGGAGCCATATTTTTTATATGGCTCTTGTTCATTTTTCGTTTTTACTCTCTAAGTAAAAATTAAATTTAAAAGCTAAAAGAGGAAGTTCAGATTAGTAAATCATGGTGATTATGATTGTTAAAACTTGAACACAATAGAGTAAGAATGGACTGCTGGGGCTGGGAAGGTGCTCAGTGGCAGAGCGCTTGCCTGGCATGTACGAGGCCCTGGGTTCGATTCCTCAGCACCACATAAGCAGAAAAAGCTGGAAGTGACACTGTGGCTTAAGTGGTAGAGCACTCACCTTGAGCTCAAGAGCTGAGGGACAGCGCCCAGGCCCAGAGTTTAGGCCCCACAACTGACCAAAAAAAAAAAAAAGAAGCAAAGAATGGACTGCTACAGGAGGCTACAACTCTTCAACCCATGGTTCCTGATTCGGTACCAGGGCTGCCTGGGCCCAGAGCTGGGCTCCTGGGCCCAGCTCCCCTTGAGGAGCCCTGGCCATGGATGGAGGACACACGGGCTCACACTTCACTTCTGAAAACTCCATGAATAAGCTGGGCATGGTGGTGCACACCCTTAATCCAGATTCCCTGGAGGATGTGGTCCAAGACCAGCCCTGAGTAAAAACTAAAGCAGAAAATGGCTAGGGTGCAGGCCAAGTGGTGGGGCGCTGCTTACGCTTAGCAAGCGCGAGGCCTTGAGCTGACCCGGAGCGGGGCGGGCGTGTTTAGGCAGCAGTCCTTCCTCAGAAAATCTACACACACCCTAAATTCATCAAAAAGGTACTATCTGTCCATTTATCTTGGTATCCCAAGGTAAATTAAGTTAAATGACAATCCTCTCAAGTTGTCCATTGTATTTAGGAGATGAACCAATCTTCAAGGCTCTTTCAAGAATGCAGCTGCTCCATGTGTGTGCAGGCATGTACACACACACACAGAGGCTTATAACAAGCTCTAGTGAAATAACTTCTGCTTATCTTCTGTACTTGGTTATCAAAGCTCTGTAACCTTTCATCCAGCCTGATTATAAGGCATGAGGTTGAATTATAAGGCCATGGCCTACTTAAAAACAAGGTTAAGCCTGGCAAGTGGCTCACATGTGTAATCGTAACTACTCAAGAGGCTGAGATCTGGAGGATCATGATTCAAGGCCAGCCTGGGCAGAACATACAAAGCTGGTATGATGGTGCACACAATGCCATCCTAGCTACTTGGAAAGCAAAATAGGAAGACCAAGCAACAAGCCGGCTCAGCAGACACTGAGACCCTTTCTCAAAAACAGTCAAAGCAAAAAAGCTGGGGGTGTGGCTCAATTGGTAGAGTGCCTGCCCAGCAAGTGCCAGGCCCTGAGTTCAAGTCCAGTACTACCCCAGAGCTAGACCTGTCAACTTTAAAAGAAAATATGTAAGATGAAGCCACTTTCAAGGCGTGTGACTTTACTTCTTTAGATCTGAAGGAGGGAAACACAGAAATACGCCAATCTGATTTCTGCAGCACTTTATCCGGAGTGCTGGCACCATGTAGCACTGCCTCTCTGTCCCAGTGAGGCTCTGGAGACCCACAGAAACAATGTGTGTGGAATCCCTCCTCCCGTGGAGGCCGCAAGGACAGGCGGGGGCTGGGGAAAGCGCTAGCGTCTCGCGTATGGGGCCTGGGTTGGACCTAAAGCACTGCAACACAAACGAACGCATGAATGATGCTGTTATCTTCACGTTTTCTGTTCTCAAGAGAGCACGCATCCCCATTATTAGCAACAAGAAATCCACACGGGCTCTGAGCACCTGCACCCATGGGCTCACTTTCCTCACAGGTGCAGTGCAAGACAATAGTGGGAGAAAACTGAAAAACCAACATCACAAGGAGGGGGAAAGTTGGGTTTGATCTGGGAAGCAATTCTGGAGAACAGGAAGTGAAATCCTAGCTAAGCCTATCCAGAACTTAGCAATTTCATTCTGTCCAAAGTCTGAGTCACGGCACTGGGCCTGGAAACTTCCTTCACCCAGGACTGCACTGCCTGCACACACCCTTAGCCTTCTGCCTCCTGTTTTCAATAAAACATTCTTTCTTCTCTTTTTGGAAACTGTCTCCCTGTGGGACGAAAACCTGTCTGAATAAATAGAGCCCCAGAGGTGATGAGCAGACACAGGCAGCGCAGGGCACCCTGGGTCGGGTTACGTAACCTGAGTTACGTAAGGAGAGGCATGCGGTTTTCTGGATGTCACACATGTTCTCCCCCAGCTCTGCAGTGCTTCCTAGGGTGTGCGCACCGTGCTGCTCCCCCAGGCCACCCCGGGGGCGCTGTCCTGTGTGGACAGCAACACAGGCACAAGAAAATCATCTCTGGGAGAAAGGAAGCCAAAGCCTGAACACGGCCAGCACTGGTGACCACAGGCAGTGCAACAGGGTCACACACAAGATCTCTACTGCCCTGACGGACTGCTGCTGGAAAAAATCTACTTGTCCAGAAATTCCATCTGTGAACTTCTCCACTCACTTTTACCTGGGCTAGACACATCTGTCCTTGGAGAAGAAGTCAGTCATCTTTGGAGCTTATTGACTGCCCAGCCGCCTTGTCAACAGTCTGACTTTGCCGTGGCTCACCATTAGACAAATGCCACAGGAATTCTGCCTCCTGTCTGTAAGTGTGGCTGGCATTCACTAGCACCTGTGGCAGGCACACACACAGGCCAGGAACCCAGCTCTGGGGCCTGCGGTCTGGTGGGAGGGGCCACATGGATGACGATGAGGGAGAAGGGCTGCAGGAAGGCCTCCATCTGCAGACACGGGTCAGCAGACATCAAAGGGGAGCCCATGCCCCATGCACAGGAGAACGCTGAGGACAGCTTTGAACCCCCATTGGCCTGGCAGTGGGCTAGCGCAATCTCCAGGGACACATCCCTGGAGATTCCCTCCCACAAGGCCAGCCCAGAGACTCAGTCCTTATCCTTTGTCCTATCACTTGTCTAAAAAGAGGACCTGTCTGCTGGAATAAAAGCCACCTCTTCTGAAACCACTCCCGGGCATCTCCCGTGGTTTCTCTTGTTCATTCCTCATTTTGGGCATCCAGCTAAGAACCAGGGAAGGGGGAGGAACCCTCCCCAACACTGAACAGTATACTAGCTCGAGCCAGCCCAAACCACTAGTAAAGCCACAGGCCCAAAGAGGGCTCCTCTGGAAAAAGGAACGAGGATCCTTAGATAAAAAGAGAAGCGTAGCATAAGCCACACAAAGGCCCGACAGGCCTGGTTGAAGACACAATATTCAGAACAAAGATCGCTGTCTTCAGGAAAGACCATAAATAATCAAAGACGGCTTCTCCCACGGGAGATGGCCTCACTGCCTTCTGCTACTAATGGAAGGACAAGAAGGAGCACAGCTTGCTTTAGTGAAACTACAACGTCAAATGGTCTTGATTCAGTTTTTGTAGTTCATGGGCAAACATGAAAAACAGTCCATTGTATTCTCTATGACAGATCCTTAAAAGACTTCAAGAAAATAGTGTAACAATAATTTTACCATGTTATTGATGAGTAAATTGATGTTTTTTAAAGATATGCTTGAAAACAATGTATTCTATTAGAACACCATCTAGACAATTTCACTTACTACAAATTTCAGTGCTATTTTTTCTGCAGTTGTGAAATCACAACATGGATTTTTACCTAAATTATTATAAATTTCAAACTGGTATTAGAAAATATCCTTATTTAGATGAGAAAATGATGGCCACAAGACCATACATAACTGATCTGCTTAAATATAAAATAAAGTTATCTGTCACACAGCTTCAAGTATACAGGATAAAACATGAGAAAATTAAAACAACATCAGCACCAGGCAGTGTTTGCTTCATAAATGTCTTTTCCAGTGTCACCACAAGGGGGTGCTACAGGGAGTTCACATCAGTGTTAAGGTTTTAAGAAGCTATTTCCATTTTAAAAAATTTATTTTATCTATTCTAACCCTTAATCAGAAAATTTTTATTAATGTCAATGTGATGGACAGAGGTGTTACAGTTACAGAAATAAGGTAATAAGATGTATTTTTTTTTATTTCAGTCTGGTTCTTGTGCTGGCTCTGGATCAGTTGAATTCCATCTTCCTTCTAGCCTTTCCTCCTCTAAACAGGAAAACAGACAAAAGTCTACTCTAAAAAGAGTTCCCTTCTTGCCAGATGTGCAGGTCCTGGCCCGGGGGGAGAAAAGCCAGAAGCAAATCCATTCCTCACACTTTTCTGGTGTCTGTCCACTAACTAGCAAGCAAGCAAAGGAGGGAAGGAGGGAAGGACAGAAGGGGGAAGGTGGGAAGGCGGTAAGGAGAGAAGTCAGGAAGGAGGGAAGGCGAGAAAGAGGGAAGGGGGAAGGTGGGAAGGCAGGAAGGAGGGAAGGAGGAAAGGACGGCAGGAGTAAGGTGGAAAGGCGGGAAGGAGAGAAGGAGGGAAGGAGGGAAGGTGAGAAAGAGGGAAGGTGGGAAGGCAGGAAGGAGGAAAGGAGGGCAGCAGGAAGGTGGAAAGGCAGGAAGGAGAGAAGGAGAGAAGGAGGGAAGGGAGAAAGGAGGAAGGTGGAAAGGCGGGAAGGAGAGAAGGAGGGAAGGAGGAAGGTGGGAATGCGAGAAGGAGGAAGGACCTCACTGTATAAGAAGCAGGGTCTTAGGTTAGACTGAAGTGCCATATCTGTAAGAAAGATACAGATCTTCACTTTAAGAGCTTTTCAACTGCTTTCCCGGTGCCTCCTTTTAGAAATCTTTCTTTAAGCTGTTTATCATGACAAATCCACGGCAAGCGCTGTCACTGCGGTTTTATTCCGAAGAACTGAGAAGGCGCCAGGACTGGCATCCTCTGCTCAGTGCTTGCCCATTCTTCTGACTCACAATTTGGACATTGAAGGGGGGTGTGTGTTCCAGTCATAATAACTATAACTGAAAAGCCACTCAACAAAAAAAAATTG